AAAAAAAAAAAAAAAAAAAAAAAAAAAAAAAAAAACGATGGAAGCGTAGTAACTAATTCTCCAGAGTAACTAATTCATCTCCTTCCTGCTTAAATCCATTTCACTTCTTAATTATACAAAGTACAAAACTATAAGAACACCAGCTTAGCTGACCTACAGTAATAGCTCTCAGAGTGCGCAATGTCGCCTCTCTAGGGGGAAGTAGAAGATATTTAGGCAGCGAAGAAACAGTAAGAAAATGTTTTGAGAATTTAGGAGGGGAAGAATGCTCAAGACAATGGTCGAAAATTCCGATATTTGAAACCGATAAAATTATTCCCACAAAAAAAAGACAATTAGGAAAAACATTTCGACAAACATCGTCCTGTAGTTTCCTGAAGCCTCAAACGTGCTTACCACAGCGATATTTTTACACGTACCAAGTGGCGAAAACCGGAAGTGGACACAACTGTAAATTAAAGAACCCAAATCACCAAAGATTTGCTCTAAGGTATAGTGGCACAAACGTTAAGCGTAACGACAAAGGTTGAAGAAAGCAAAAACAAAATATTCAGTACACACATCATCCAGAAAAGGTAAATTTCAAAAGAAAGGAGCTTGGCAATGAAGTAAGTGGCAGCAACCACAATAACAACCTACATTGTATACATAATACTCCTCTTACAACTAAACCTCCACACATTCAATAACTCTCTGCTTTTAAACAAGCCCAACTGTTCGTTCGTTATTTCTTTATCCTTTCTACATGAAAAAAAATAATTGTTAGTATCTTTTTACTCTATTCATCAAATGCAATAAAAATAACTATACTACTTACAGGCATAAAAAGCGGTGAAAATAGTGATTAAGAATGAAAATATAGAATATACATTAGTAAAAGATTTATTTGTTAGTTACTCAAGAAACGCGACACTGGCTCTCAAACCGCTTTAATTGCCTTTCTGCTTCGTCGTCTTTTTCGACTGAGAGAGTTTCGAGGTTTAGCACTTTCATATACTCCTAGAAAAAGTGAGTAGGTCAACAACAACTTTCTGTGAATATATTAAACGAAATAAAAAACCAAGACTCATTTGGAGGGTACGTTGTAATTTCTTATAACCCTTATTAATATTTCAGGTTCTAAATCGCTGTTTAAAAAAGACTAGAGAGAGTATAAAGACAAATACCACCTGTCAGCTTGAAAGCGTGAATTACCACAATACGTAAAATAGCTTAAGTTAAGACAGATTCAAAAAAAAAAAATGTATTAGCCCAAAATTTGATCTTGGAACCTGCAAACGTTGTGCGGTGGTAAGCCAGCCAGAAACCTGTTGTCCGAGTTTTGTTGCACGAGGAGTATCTCTTTCATTCGCAAGAACCCGCATTGCACCATCGATCGCAAGTGTATATTTCTCCAAAGCCTCTGACCATTTTTCTTCTAGCATCAATTTACGGGCATTGGACGCCACTATTATAGCTGCATCTACCTAAAAAAAAATGCAGTCCTTAAGTTAATCTTTCGATATCCAACAAATTGAACCAAGTTGTAAAATTTATGTGGTGGCCTGTTAATCTGATAAATATCAAAATGAAAACTGACCTGTGGAATGTCCGACCACTCAGACACTGCTTTAGAAGAAGACGGTAACGGTTCTTCAGAAACTGGACGGATGGTTTCTTTTAGATATTCTGCACGTTCTAATGTCTCCTTTATTTTTCGTCGTAAACGCGCTTTTTCCTCCCTATCGTCAAGGATTTCCAGTCGTGACATATATAATTGTATTGCTAACGTCAAAAATTGAATTGCTTCTGCGGTCTTCTATAAAACATCACTCAACGTAAACTGATAAATAATAAAGAAGATAAACAGGGAACTGCAAAGACTCTTCGCAAAACCAAAACAACACATGGCAACCTTAGAATCTTCCGCAATTCTTGCTTTAGCGATATACTCGTCGGCCTTCTCAAATTCTTGTGCAGACTGCATTTTCAAAAGAGCAACAAAAGGGTGAGAAAAAAACTGTTCAAAAGTCATCCTTCGTTGAGGGTCCCGAACCAATAATCCTTTAAAGATGGTGCAGTAAACGAATACAGGTTATTCTCAAGTTGAAAACATCTACTTTCCTTTCAAATAACAGAAGCATTTGAAAAATCACAAATACACAGGCTCTAGGCAAAAAGAGACTATGCTTTTGTGCAAATACGCAAATCCAAAATAATAAAACAGAATACCTCGTAAAATGTCCGAGCATTCTGCAGAGAGCTTAACAGTAGACGGGTAAGAAATGGGTTCAGAAGATAGTATTTTAGAGACCAGTTTCTCATAAGTGTCAGAACTGAAAGGTGCTTTGCCATATAAACATTCATATAATATAACTCCAGATGACCTGTAAAGTACACAACTTCTAGTGGAAACAGATCATCTTAAATATCTGAAGGTCAAGAAAACAGCAAAGAAGAAAGCGTACCACAGATCAACTCGACTGTCATACTTCCGCCGAGCAAATATTTCCGGTGCCATATATAAAGGAGAGCCTCTAAAGGAAGAGGAAGATTCACTTTTTTTCAAGCATTGAGAAAGACCAAAATCGGAAATCTACAGCGAGAGATGCATTAGGAATGAGGAATACGTTTAAAAAATTATTTATAGAAGCAATGAAATTTAGAACCTTGATAGACGGACGGTATTTATTTGACAAAAGAATATTTTGTGGCTTCAAATCCATATGCGCTACATTCATTGCTCTCATATATTGTAAGCCGCAAGCAAGTTGGCGAAAAAATTTTCTAGTTACAGCTTCAGGCAAAGAACCATGTTTCCTAATGAACGATCCAAGATCTCCTCCACCACAAAATTCCATTATTAGATAAATATTATTTCTGTCCCACTGGAAATCATATAAACGAACGATGTTCCTAAAAGTTTTTTCTTTTTCTTTGATGACGACTATTCGCAGGATTTTGTAAGCTAAGGCTAAGCTAGGACAAACAGGAAAAGCACTATATTTTAAATAACCCTTAGAAACAACAAGTATAACGAATTGAGAAGCCAGTTAAACAATAAGTAATAGCGCAAAATTCGGACCAACCTATGTTTCAGAGTTTTTAAAATTGAAATTTCGGATACAACGCAGTCAGAATTCAATTTGGATGAGTTAGCAGTTTGCATATTTATGCATTTGATTGCAACAGTGGATCGAACCCCATTTGGACCTGGAGCAGCTGAGAGGCCCTTATAAACGACTGAAAACGCTCCAGCTCCCAACCTACAAGTAAAAAGATCACGTCACAGAAAAAAATAACGCAGCAAGCATAAAGAACTGAAATAAAATTTGCAAAAACTTTTAAATATCATACTGAAAAATGCCTTCAAAAATCCGCAATTATAATTCTCAAAGCAACCAAAATACCTTTCAGAGACATTATATCCAGCAATAGACGTCGGAACGTGAGTAGTTGCCCACTCACCAGACATTATGCATCAGCAGATTCCGAAAAACTGGAGGAACAATACGTCTTCACGTCGATAATATCAAAAAAATGCTATAATCCATAATCGGAACGATACAAACCATTCTTAAAGACCTTCGTATGAGCAAGAAATCAACAAATAACTTGAATTCATTATACTACTTTGGTTTCCGACTAAATGCGGATAACTTTAACAGCCTGAAAAAAATGGAAGATCAACAGATAAACAGTTCATACACCATTTTTAAAAACAGCGATAATCCCATGTAAAGCAAATCAAGGGCAAACTTACCACATTATACACCTTTAACAAGTTCAAACAATATCCAAATGAACTCCCAGCCCGACCAACAACCAACGGTCGTTTTCACCTATCTTGTATCTGAAGTATATTACACTGAATGATATTCTTTACGATCGAAAAACCATATTCATCTCATAGTCAACTGTCGCAAAAAGAATTTTGGAACTGTAATGCGACTAGGAGCAATAATTATTGAATCGATATTCTCCTTCCCTTTCTCCCTTCTCCTTAAAACTGGTTTTGATAGTTTGCTAATAACCAAATCCAAAGCTATTTATATTGGCCTCATATGAGTAATATGTAATGAAACCACTACAACTAAATAGCAAAAAATGCTGAAATCATACACTCGCAAAAGCAGTTTTGGAAGGAAAAAAGTCAAAATTATCCAACCAACACAAAAATCATAACATAATAGAAAAGTTCCTCAATGTTATAAAATCAGCTAATGATTTTGACCAAACGGTAAACAGCCTTTACTACTTGTGGAAAACTTGAAAGTATCTCACAACTGTCGTCCTTTCAGAGTTTTTGGTTAAGTATACGACCGTTAGATACAAGTTTCTACGCCACGACAAATTTCCTTTTACAAATGTCCTGTTATAATAAAATGATGTAAAAACAGTTTTAAAAAACCAATGCGCCCATCTCCTTGAAAGTCCAAAAACTTAGAGGATTCCATGCTAAAGGAAAACAAAAAGCTACATTAAGGTAATCCCATTATTTAAAAAAATCACGAGGCATTTACAGGGTTAAAATAAAGGTGTTCTGATACGCTTTATTACGACAAATTGTACCCTCAGTAAACCGTACATTAGTGATATACTCAGATAAGCCGTTAACGAGCGGGATAAACCTTTTCCAAACTCAAGTATTATCACTATAGCCGCCACGCTTCGTTAACGCTACTGATATTCACTATAGTAAGGAGAAAAAAAAAAGACAAGAAAAGTGAAGCAGTAAAAAGCTGCTATCGACAGGAGAAAAAACTTTTACCAAATGGGTTCGCAGACTGAATGAAGTATAAACAGAACAGTAGGCTGAAAAGAATGAAGAAGAGATTTCATGCCTATTACAATTACGTTAACTTTGAAGTTTTAACGGTATAAACTACTGAGCATATAACCAATGAAAATTTTCATGACCACAGCACTATTGAAAACTATCATACATTTCCTATCATTCTGCAGTCCCTGGTGAAAGTCGTTTCTTCCCACTATTAACTGTGATTTGCATATACCAAACCTGTTACTATACTATACTAATCAAGTTGTCAGGAACATAATTAAAAGGTATAAAATCTTCCCTTATGATTTTTTTATGAAAAACAGCAATGCAGAGGAAGATGGAAACAATAAAAACCGATGACGAAATACTAAAAACCAATAATCTCACCAATGAGTGATAAAAACGCAAACAAACACACAAGAAAAGCTGATCATATCAATAAACTTAATGTCCCAGTGTTATCACTGTTATCTCACATGAACAAATGTGTCAACCCGCTGAATTCGGCATTATTAGTGATGAATGGTGTCGTGCGGAATTTAACTACAACCTTTTCAAGACGTTCAGAATTGAGAGAGCACCCTTGAAAAACTTGTGGTAAATCGACATCGGCTGTGACATTACTCATACATAATTCAAAAACCAAGTGTTAACCCGCTGAATGATACAGAAACAACTCTTTTGTTTTCAGCTGTAAAAAATAACACGACATTTACAGTTTTTTATCAGTAAAAAGAACTCAAACTTATCGTGAGTGCACTAGTAGAAATCAAAAAGGTATTTGTCCAAAACTAATCACTGCATTTCAGTGTACGATTTGTAATTTAAAGAGACTTGACGTTTAAAAAGCAGCGGAAAAACGTTCATAAAAAAAAAGAAGAGATCTAGGAGATTTTAAATTCTCATCCACGATGTTACGTTTAATCCTACATCCAAAGCAACAGTCGTAGCATCAACTGATTCGTCATATTTGCATACGTAAAAATCATCTAACAAACTGATATTTGCATCGGGACCAGCATTAATACGGCAAGCCGGAGTTTTGGACACAACAAAGCATTTCCGCTATGATTGTCTGCCCCGAAAGTAGGTCACCAAACTGGAAACAAAAATCACCACCATCCCCCCAGTTCCCATCACCCATTCCGACGCCGCTGTGGCCAGCGTTCTGTGTATATTTTTGCTGACTGCTTCTGCAGCTGTGGTTGTTGTTGTCGACTCTTTATCGCTATTTGCAAATTTTTGTCGAAGAAGCAAGTGAAAATTGGCAGACCGCCAACATCCCTGCAGGAGCCAACCGGTTGTCATGGGAACCAGCGTCGGCGGGCAGCTGCTATTGGTGTGCCACTCAGCTGATTGTGTTTTGTTTGTCTGCCTTGACTTGACTGCCGGGGCGTTCACTCCGTTATGTCATAAGACGGACGCCTGTCATAATTGGTGTTGTGTGTTTAGCCGTAAATTCTTCCGACAGTGAACTAGAAGGTGTCCAAAAAAAAAATTTTCCCATTTTCCTTTTTTTCTTTTTGTTTGCTTTCTTCTCCTATCTTCCTGTTTGTCCGTGTTTGATACGACCTTCGTTTGGACGATATCTGTTGCCCAAGAAATTGAATAAATTATGTATCGACTGGAAGATGAGGATGATGCATCGTCACTGAGTTGCTCCTCTTCGGATAAGGTATGTTGATGCGACTGAGTTGAAGGCATGAGGAAAAAAATTGAGGATAGAATTTACTCAGGAGTTTAAAGAGACGGGTCTATAGTTTTTTCTTACCTTTTCTCATGGGATCATTGTATTTTGCAAGAGAATTACTGTTTTCTTCTGGAATTACTAGGATTGATCTGTTTTTTCTTCTTTTACTTTATTTTATCTCAGAATCTTTTCTTTTCTTTTTATTCTTGTATAGTTTACATAGAAAAAGACTATGAAAGTGAAAGTATTTGCAGGATGAAAATTATTCATCAACGCTTGTAGAAGCTTTAGAAAAGAAGTATTTATGTGATGAAGACGTAGATTCGTCGATGCTTCTGATTTCATTTGTAAGTGTTACTTTCTGTTACCTTCTTTCTTCGCTTAAACTCTGGGTTGGAAGTGTTAGAAATTTCAAAGCAAATGAGAAATAATGAATTCAGCGGAAGATAGATGCTATTGGTTATGCAATTTTTTTTGCTTCGCAGTTAATTTTTCATTCAAAAAAATTCAGAATTGTGATGTTTGACATCATTGAAAAATAATATTGTCAGTAACGCATGTGAATACTGTGATGACTTTAACGTTGTTATCAAGGACTACATCTTCCCGTCTCTTGTATTTCTGTGCCCATTCTAGACTACCTTTTTTTTCTTTTGCGGGAACTTTTTTCATATCAGTTTTTTTCTAATTTCTTTCTCGTGCAGTAACAATGGCTGGATGTGAATGATTTTTGTGGTTTTTGATGGGTCGAAGAAAGGTTAAAGGTCAAAATTTTTAATTTTAAATGTTCTTTGAAAGTCATGCTGAAATCCGCCACTGTGTTTGGCTTTATTACAGACTCCATGTAAACTTGCGAGTGAATGCGCACTTTCACTGCTCGTACTGGACCATAGGGGTATTTGTAGCGTCGGAAACATCGATAGATTTAACACGCTGGCCAAGAATGTTGTAGAAGTATGATCTGTTAAATTTTTTCAAAAATTTTCATCGAGGTTATATATTTTTGTTAACTTAAATTTTTTTAGTTCAATCGTAATTGCCGCTCTGCTTAGTCACTGTCATCATTTACTGTAATAGCGCATAAAAAGATTTTTTGTTTAAGTAGACTCAAAAATTTGTTTTTCAGGTTGATGTCTCTTTCAACAGTTTTACTGAGTGGGAGGAAATCGCAGTGCTGTTAAAATTACCAAAATTACATACTTTGAATATTGGGTACAATCCTTTAAAAGATGGGATAAACGCAGAACTTCCTGTAGCTGGAAATGTTCATTCGTTGTATCTTTGTGGTACTCACCTTTCGCTATTAACAGTTGGTGATCTGATAAAACAGATGCCAGTGCTTAAAGAATTATACCTTTCTGAGAATAGGTACTAATTCTAGATCTCATACAAATTATAGGGCCATTTATTAATATAATTTTTGTGCATTCTGAATATTTAAAAACTTAATTTTAACTTATAAGGCCTTTTTCAAGTTGAATATAATTGCGGTTTTCAGGAAAATTAAAAACGGTATAAAAAACGAAGATTTTTCAAAAGTACCGTCTAATTCAATAAAAATCTTGCATCTCATTCGATGTGAAATAGCTGATTGGAACCTTATTATTTTGTTACGGCGTTTATTTCCTGCTATTGAACATCTTGTTTTATGCGAGAATCCTATAAGGAAAGTATACTTTGATGAGAAGGTTGGTTACTCAGTGTAGTGCTAGTACTCTTATTTTTTATCGATATACTGGTTTGTACAAACCCAGTCAGACTGTAGAAGTATGCTGCTTTTTACATTTGTTTCTTTAGAATTTTGTGTTTCTATGAAAAATGAGGTTTTTTCCGGATTGTTTCGTCATTGGATTTTTTTAGCTAGTATGCACCGTAAACACTTTTTATTTTTGAGGGTGGCAGTAAAGAAATTTTCAAAGGACTTCGATATCTCAGTTTAACAGGATGTTTGATTGAAGACTGGGAATCAATTGAGAGTTTTGCTGACATTGAAACTCTGCGATCTATGAAGCTGCAACACCTTCCTTTACTTAATGCTTATACGGACGAGGAAAAGTACCATTTGGTTATTGGAAGGCTTCCTTTTTTGGAGGAGCTTAACGGTTCCGTAATTACTGAAGAGCATCGAATTACATCAGAAAGATTTTTTATTAGGTTTTATTTTATGTGTTAATTTGGAATTTGTTTTTTGTTTGTTCTATTATTTCCATCTTCGCCACGTCAGGTTTTTAAGTTTTTTAGACTATAGATAATCGATCGTTCGGATCGTACAATTTATTATTTTTGCTTCTAGCGATTTGCATTACGTCTTTTAAGGTATTATGACATTCGTGAAAACAAACCGAAGATTTTCCAGTCATTGATAACAAGACATGGTCATGTGGCTCAGTTATGTCCTCTAGACTTAACTCCAAAAAAGCATATAAGTGTTGTTGTTATATGCGAAGAAAGAGGGTAATTTTCAATATTTTTACACTGTTACGGAGAAATTTATATTAAAAAGCTGTGTTACGTTTTTTTTCCTTTAATATTTTTAAAGAAAATACTTTTTATTTTAGTTTTAAATCAACTATGAAAGTCCCGTATACCTTCTCCGTTTTGGCCTTCAAAAGAATGCTCGAGAAACGTCTCAATATTCCGGTACATTTAATGCGGCTTTTTCACTTAGGTCCGCCCGAGTTAGCGGACGTTTTTGGTGCTGAGGAGCTTCGCTCTTCGAGTACAAAATTATCCTCAATGCGATTAGATGATGGGGAATACTTTTCTGTACTGGTAAGAGCTTAAGATATTCGATTTCACAGTTTCTTAACATCAGTTATTGCAAAATAAAATGCCTTTTTGTAGTCAAAGTCAGGAACAACTCGCAGGATACCTTCCTTTAAAAAGCAGGAACTAACTGCATAGTTTATTATGTATTCTAATTGTACATTTATCTCCTTTCTATTGTAATTGCAGTGCAACTAAGTTGACTTTCAAGCCTGTACAATTATCAATTGAAACTATGTACAGCATTTGTGTTGTTTTACTATGTTGGTTACCGTAGCTTTCTTTCTAAAAGATAGGTTTGCTCCACGAATAATTAACTCCTCATGGCTGCCGATTTTCAGGTTTTTTAAGCAAAAATAGTTTTTATCTCCTGATAATCTTAAGCAGCTCTGTAAGTACTCTGAAATATTTTTTTAATATATAGCTTATTAATGAAAACTTTTTATTCATTTCAGACTTTGGAAGTAGATTATTAGCTGTTAGTAGGGACTTGAAGAGGCATATTTTCAATGGGTTTCAGTAGCCTTTGTGTGTTTTTTTATTGTTGTATAGTCATCTAGGCGATAATTTTTTTTTAAATTGTCGTTGTTTATTTACTTTAGATTTTTAAATAATAGTAATTAGTACATTAGGTTTATAGACAGTAACCTAGAGAAGTTAATTTGCTTTGTGTATATAAAGGGTTTTATGCTAAGGGCTATGATGTAGTGCCTTGTTTTTCTTATTTTGTTGTTGCAACTGCTTTACATCATTTCAGTCCGGTTATTGCTAATGTTGTTTTCGTACTTTTTCTAGGATTTCTTTTCCTCCTTTGAGTTTAGCTTAGGCTGGTTATTTGATGTTGATTATGTCGGTGTAGTCAAACAAACATAAATAGAGACCGCCTTTGTATCATATTTTCATTGCTCGTTTCTTACTGGACTAGTAGTTTTGTAGTTCCCAGCGCAAATATTTTATAACTTTGAGTCAATATTACTGTTAAAATGCTTAATTACTTTTGTCGCGCTTGATCTTCACCGTGTAATTATATCTCTATTTCTTTTTTAACTTTCTCTGCAATGTTCTAGTCTCGTAGCTGTAATCTGTTCTGTTAAATCTTTACGATTTATTTTTGTTTTGGTAGATTAAACCTTTTGAATACTTTTGATTCACGATCAGCAGTTTTACCATTAATATAACATAGCAGATATTCAAATCATTTCGGTTTACATTTGTTTTTTTCTTTTAATATTTAGTCTAGCAATGTTGCCTGTTAATAATAATCATTGAAGAAGAGTCGTAATGATTTTTTGATGCGAAAGGTTTTGCTGGAATAGCGCATACTTTGCTGAGCAAACGAATAGCGTCGTTACAACAGCTAGGTGGGATTTTTAGCAAAACTGTTCGTTTTCTTTTCGGTCAATTTAGCGAAGGAACTTTTCATTTATTTTTGCCTCTGCTTGGGGACTTTTTTTTTCTCCGCTAAATCCGGGTTGTTGTTTCCTAAATTCTTTAGTCAGTGGTGTTGGTGGTGGTGGAGAAGGAGTGAACAGGGGTATCAGCTCCTTCACAGTCATGCGTCGCTGATCGAGCTTCCGCCGGAGAACGTTACCAGTAACACCTCGTGGGATGTCTTTGACAAAATAGACGCCTCCTTTTAGGTCTCTGAATTCCGGGACCTTACCTAAATATTTGATACCTCTTTGGTTATTTTTATCACTTGAAGTAAGGCGCTTGGAATTTGCAACTTCTAAAATACTTATCTGATCTAGTTTACCTGATACAAACTGCCTGATTTCCGATGAGCTTAAATTTATATGCTGCGGGTTTCTGACAACAAATGCGGCGGGAAGTTCTTCAGCCGCATGATTCCGGCGTCCAACTACTGCACAGTCGTCAATTCCAGGATGTGTTTTCAATAATTTTTCAACTGCCAGCGGTGGTATCTAAATACACGTTTAATTATAGTAAATGATGTCCTCAAAGTCCTATTTCTGTCTATATGCGACAGTTGTTAGTATGAAGAGAAGGATGGTACCATTGTGTCTTTCCCTCTTATCATATCTCTCATTCTCCCGAGAATGTAAATGTATCCGTCTTCGTCATAGAATGCTGCATCTCCTGAACAATTATTATTGTTGTTTGGGAGGCAAAACTAATCTTGCAGAAATATATAATTTAGTCAGTTTACTTATTGGTGAAGACTAACATGCGATGCCCATTACGTGTTTTTAAACTAATTGATGGCTTTGAAAAGAGTATGCTTGCGTGCTTATTAGTTCTCTTCTGTTCCTGTTACTCGTTTTGAAACCTGAGGCGAAAACAGATACCTAATTATACATCATTATCTCTGTCAAGTCTGTTGAGTTTTGGCATCATAGCATCGAGATTACGCAGATGGTGTAAAACAAGTGGACAGGGTTTTCAAAAGATTATTAGATTAACCAATTATTTATAAATTATTTCCAAGATACTGCTATCTACGACCTTCAGTTTTGTATGAACAGTAAAAATCTTTGCAACTATTCGCTCTAGGTGCTATACTCGGCGTTTAACGTTTTTTGTCGTTAAGCTAAGAGGCAGGAGAACGCGTTGGATTTTTTAAAGAAATTTTGCATTTCTTTGAGCGTTCATACTACAGCGAATTTTCTTGCAAACAAATAAAAAAAGATAGAAATACATAGCCGTTTTTTACCCGTTTTGATGTATCCATCTGCATCAACAATCTTCTCAGTAGTTTTGGCACATTTGTAAAATGATGGGTTTACTTGCGGTCCTTGGACTAAAAGATGACCGGTTACATGCGGGAGGCAAATTTCTTCTGTGTCTGGATTGACAACCTAAATATGTGTAGGGTTAGATTAACCAGAGCTTTCTATCAAACTGCTTACTAATCAAATGACCTTCATGAGCATTCCAGGAAGTGGAACACCAACGCTGGCATATTTGGTGCAACCATAGTAAGAGAATGTTGCAACTCCTCCAAGTAAAGCCATTCCGTAAACTAAGAATAATAGAATTACTAGAATCAATGTTTTTACCAGTTAATTTGTCAGGCTTTCTTATCGTGGTCAATAGTTTCACGACTTTCTATGCTGTCTACTCTATCTAGGAAAAAGTTGACTTTGTGACTGGTAAAGCAAATGGTTTGAGTTATTTGATTTTAACTTGTGTTGTTAAGCTTTAAAATGTAAGATTTGTTGGGATGGTGGAAGTTTTTGTGAGAGCGTGAAAACCTTGCCGCAGGTCCTCTAAGTTGAGTCGTTCCTTGCACATTGTCAAGATTTCTGGATCAACTATAGCTCCACCGACCAGAACGCTTCGTAAGGAGCTTAGATTATGTCCACTAAGGTTTTGTTCTTTGATCAACATCTGAGCTACTGGTGGAGTTATATATGCAATTGTTACCTGCAATAAAATGCATGAATTGGTACATATTGTTGCTTTAAATGGGTCACCAGTTTTGATGTTTACCCATCGTCCGCCAACCTTGTATTTCTCGATAACACTTAGGCACCGGGAAGGTGAATATTTGGGGACAGTGATTAAAGTTGTTCCGTTTGCCAGTGCGTAATATGCCAATGCAAGTCCGAACTCGTGATGAATGCAGGCAACTAACAAAGTATTGTAGATTTACGAGCGTTTAAATATTTTCATTTCAAATAAATATTGTGAGTTTAACTGTAGTTTACTGTTTGTCTTATTAAACACCAAGTAAAGCTGCAGTGGAAATTTCTACTTGAATAGATTACTTTAGTTGATTGGTTCTTGAAAAAGTTTTTTTCGAGAATATGAATTTTTGTCTTGCCTAACAACATGCAGTCTTCTTTGTTCGGTGGACGAAATATAGGACAGCTTAGCTGTTGGATGTTGACAATCAATGATTTCTGTGATACTTCGACCGCTTTAGGAATAGATGCTTCTGTTACACCAAAATACAACAGGATAATATTTTTGTCTGAGTCACAACTGCTTACTGACAGCTGTTCATTCTTGTCTGAATCATCGTCCTAAAATAACGTTTTTGTCGTTGAATGGACCTATTAGAGTCATCTGTTTGTTCAGACAACAATTCTAGGTCAGTAGCTGATGATGATAAGGTTGAATATGTCGTTGAAATAGCAGTAATATTTTTCTTACAATGTACCTTTTGTGAAGCAGTTGAATTATCACCTTGCCCTTCTGTTGAGTGTGACATGAGATGGGAATTTAAATTTTGGAAACTGTAAAGGCGATGAAGTCTGAAAATACGTTGAGATCATGGGTAGACGATTTGTTTGAACAGAAAAAAAATAGTATTTGCACAAAACATTAACTTATCGTCTCTAAACTGTACTGTATACATTGTTTAGTGTAAGTCAACAACTAAATGTACAAACCAACCCATCGTCACGTTGTGATAACGTATCGGCGAAAGCGTCATCGATCATTTTCACAGCCTAGAAAACTGAAATCAGGAGATCATTTTTAGAAAGGCATTATGGGTACCAAGATCCCTCAAAAGCTGTTCTTTCCTGATGGTATGAAGGCATTTTTAGCAGAATTAACGGCAATGAGTAAAAACTTCTACCTGTTGGAAAACAAAATTAATATTTTGCTAATGTATTGCTTGTGGAGTATGGAAATAATGTGCTTCTAGTCATTTCAGCTAAATTGATATCTTTACTTATAGTTTAGTTCGACACTACTGTTGCCTCTTCCTTGTGATAGTTTCTTAGTGCATAATTGTTTTTTCTTTGTTCTTATTAGGCATTTTTTGAATTCATTGCAGGAAGAGAGGTGTAGGCGCGAAGGAATAATTCACCTCATGCTCATTCAATTTATCGCTTTAGAACAAGAACATTGTGGTGTTGGGAACTGCAACGGCTTTTGTTAATTGCTCTGTAGAGCCGAAAAGCTTAGTAGAGCAGTGAGCTATACAGAAGTAAAAACGTAATAAGCCACTTTCAGAAATGCACATTCTTCCTAAAATAATCATTTTTCTACTGATTTTTTAAAATTAGAAATGATAATAGGGGTTCCTTAAACGACTCAGTGGTTGGCTGAACTTCGAGTAGAAAAAATGCACAATTGTTAGTATTAGTATGAGTAGACGTTGTGTTGACATTCAAGCGAGAAAAAAACTTGCAATTTAATGATAGTGTAATGGCTGAGAAGACCATTTTTTAAGGTTTTTATTGAACCGAAATAGAATTAATTTTAGTATTGATGTCGCTATAGTTACCGCTCTATATTTACTGTTAATAATAGAGATAATTGTTCTACTATGGCCGTTTAAGGATAATGTTAAAATTTTTTACACTTTTCTAGATCTTTAGAATATTCTACTTAGACTAAAAATTTCTACTGCTGTTTAAAAGTTACTTTTTTTGAAATTTGTGACGAGATTCTAGGTAATTCCAAGTTCAGTTTTTTAGGTACCTGGTTAAAAAACTAAGGTTTTCTATTTTGTTTACTTTTAGTCTGTTGCAAATAATAGTCCCAACCAAATGTCTTTACTTTCGCAGAGTCGCTTTAAATCTTGTTCCCTTTTGCTTAGGATTGCCTTCTTCGCTGTCGCTTAACTTGAGAGCTAATTGATTCAGAAATATAGGGAACAACCGCGGCAAACTTCAATAAAATGCTCAGTTTTTTATCAGTACCTATCGTGGTCAATGTCTGGAGGCTTTTTAAAAGACGCTATATTATTTTTGTAAGACTAGCTAAAGGACTTTTCTAATACACTACTTTTTCATATAAAAATTAGACGACAGCACGACGTGTCAGTGAATCAAGCTAAAAATATTCGAACATTGTTTTAACTGCTCACAACAAAAGACAGAAAAGCTTGCATTGTCGTCAACAATTATTTGGCTAGTGGTGTTTGAGATACGGTAATTTTTTCAGACTTTTCGTAAGAAAAAGTGTGTTTCAAAGCTAAATTTTTTCTTCAGATAAATTAAGTTTATTCTTTGGCTGTAAAGCAGAGATGAGGGATTTACTTTTTTGCTTATGTATTTATTTTCGCTATACATTCTGTTCAGTCAACAAAAAATCTTAGACAGGTATAATGGCTAGAATCAGTAATGATTGGCACCTTGGAGTTTAAACTACCAGTAGCAGTATCAAGTTTATCTTTTGAAGACAAACAAACTGTACGGGTTTATAAGTTTTGTTAAAATTTAATTCTTTTATACTAGCTTCTAAAATTTGTAAAAGTTGAAAGGAATATGTTACACAAGTTTTTACGTAATTGCCGTTGTATTTTTCTTATTATTCATTCTCGTAAGGTTTTTCTCTTTTAAATTTACCGTAGTCTTCAATGCGCTTCTATACTTACAGCTTTTACATTAATTAAAATTGGAAAACAAATACTTACTCGAATATGTCTGCTTCCTCGAACAATTGCTTTACGTCGTACCTCTTCCACTTTTGTTAAAAACTGTGGTTCTGTGATACAATGGCTGACGTCGCTGGCGTCTACTTTTTGCCATAGTTCATCTTAAAAGGCAATTCATTGATTAAGCGAGAATAATATGGTGATATATTTTTTTGAATATACACTTTGATTTTTTTCAACACGTATTTGTTGGTTCTTTAGTCTCATAGCTAGCTGTCTAACGGGTATGGCTTTTGGCACTAGACTGAGTGAATTACTGTAACTGATTGGAGTTATTAAAAACTGCTGTTTCAGTAATTCATGGGTCAGAAACACTGTGGTTTCAAAAGCAGAAATTTACATAAATTTTATCAAACACTTCTTTTTCTACTAACCGCTGATTGATTATATTACTTTGACCTACTGTTACGGAACTCTTTATTTATGCATTTCTAGCTCTTTACTTATTTGTCATATTTGTCTGCGCTTTTCAGAAAAGCAAGAATTGACCATATATAAGCCTATCAAGTCGGGCCTTTTACCGTGCTTTCGTTGTGACAATGAATACTGTATTTTAAATAAAAACAGGGTTATCTCTTTGCGGCTATGAGGAATAGGTTTAAGAAAGAAAAGAGAGTTAAGAAGTGATTTTAAAATATTTTTAAAAAAATTACTGATTACTGGTGCATGAAATCTCGCAGCAGTTTTGGAGTCTTGTTACTTGATCTAATGTTTTTTTATGTTGAACTTTTAAAGTTTAAAATTTTAAAAGATTTTTAGTAACTGTTTTTTCTTTATTTTCTTGTCTTGTTTGAAAGAGTATTAAAACGCCTATAATTTTTTCAGTAAATTCTGTCATTATTATCAATATTACTGAGAGTTTGAGGTAAAAATTGATTAACATTTTTTTATTCATGACCAGACGACTATTCAATGCGGTCTCCAGAGAAATGCAGCGTTAACTTAAAACTTTATAAATTATTGATGACGACTTGAAAATATTTTAAGTTACAGTAATAGAATTAGTTAATTATTTAACTGCAGACTATGCTTAACGCTTAGTATCATTATTTCTGGATGACGATTTTCAAAAACAACATTGCTGGGTGTTTCTTTTCACTTTATTTATATATTTATTTTGAAACTGAAAAATGTATAACGAATTTTGCAAGTTACCTACCAATGCTTAGGTAACCGTCGATACAGATGATTAAAGCTCCAATCGAAGCGCATGCCAATTGCATCAGGATCGTTTGTACTGTGGAACTGGTAATCAGTGCTACATGGGAACCGGCAGTTGCTCCTATGTAGGTTAACCACGATGAGCATTTTTCTACGCATTTCTGTAGTTGACTGTATTTCCACTGTTTTCCGGACTCAATATCAATCTTGAAAAAAAAAAGCAGTTTGAATCTGCATTTCTGTAACATTTTGGATACTCTTTTAATTTAAGTAGACTTAAATGCATTACTACCGTTCTCAGTTACTGCAAAATAACTAACTCAGCAGTACCGTTTTCTACAGATGTAGAATGATGATTTCTAGCGCTAAATTTTCTTTTGGAGGTACGTAGAATGGTTGATATCAGTGGTGAATAGTCACATATAGCCTTTTATAAAATTAAAAAAAGTCTTTTTTTACTCTAGTATGATAGGCAAGTACGAAGAAGAAGATCGTCTAAACATCAATGGAACTACAGTAAGTTATTGAAAACAAGCGTGTGCTAGCAGTGAAAAATACTGTCGATATTTTAACTTACCAGTGCAACACCGTCACCGTATTTAGCAAATTTTCTGAAAAAGTAGTCGACAAAATTAGCAGTCTGAAGCTTTTCCCAAGTAATTTGGAAAGGACTTTGTATCTGCATAATGGTCGAAACAGCAGTTCTAAAATTGTGCTGCAGACCAGTGATGTATATGTGAAAAGCAACTAAATCAGAATGTTTCCGTCGATGCTCATCACAAATGCATGTCGACATTCCTCCGTTTGGTGTTCTTCACTTTTATTATCCGCCTAATACTTTTTGTTATTCATTGTAAATTTTATTCTTCAAAACTTTCGTTATTTATTAGCTCTGTTGGGACATTTTCAATTACACATTTTGCAACAGCATTTGGTTGTTTCATCCGAATAATGATGGCGCAGCATCGGGAATATTGTAGAAATAAAATTATTTTGAGAGGAAAAATGATTGACTGAGTCAAACCGAGCGAGGAAGAGAAGCAAATGCATTAACTAAGATGCTCGATAGTGTCGTTTGCTATTTGTTTTCGGTTTTATGATTGTCATTTTTGTTACTGGAGTAACTTATTTGAGTTCTATTATGACTAATTAAGTAAAAATAAAACTGAACGCTTTTTTTGTCGCTAAACACTGTCATCTCTATGAGTCTTAACGTATTTGGTATTTATAGGGCTTATTACAACTTTACAAGTAGAGGTGTTGTTTATTGCCACTGGTTGCACAAAATGATCAGGTGCTTCAAAGAATTGGATTGTAAACTAATCTTTAGTTCCTTAGTCAAATCATCGAATAAATGATACAAAAGTCTTATATTGTAAATTCTTATCATTTTTATTGAGTCCTATCTTTCATTGTGCTGTTTATCAGTAAGCAGCTCCCTTCTGGGCTGTACAGAGCTATTCTGTCTGTGAATTGTGTAACAAATGTTGCCGAGCATTGTTGTTCACTTTTCAACGCTGAAGGAGTTACTGCCAATCGATTTGGGCTCTCAGACGACTGTGGCTTTCAACTACAAGGTAGAAGACTTACAGGTATTATTCTATTACTAGCTTAACAAAATGTTTTGGAAGAATTAAAGTTTAAATTTATTTTTACCAATGGCCAGTTGTCATTTGAAAATTCTAATTTCTCGATCTTCTGAACAAAATAACAAAAATCTAATATTACTGCATCGCACCTACCAGTTTTCTCTGATAAGAATTTGGTGGGTAAATTAAATAAAAACTTTTTTTACATTTTGTATCATGGTGCAGATTTGAAAGTGAATAAGTTACTATACCTACACAGCAAATTTATTCGTTTTAGTTACATGAGCATTTATAGCTTTTTTTAACTCGTTTTGTGGAAGAATACTGTGGTATATATTCGGTCTAAAGGAAGCAGATCAGCACCTCAGTAATCAAATATAAATTAAAAAATTTCATATTTTTATTTACGGAACAGTACTGTTAAAACGATCGCATAACCGTCATCTCTTAGTTTATTCAACCTATAAAAAGCAAAAATGAAGAATTTTGCTTTCAAAAATCCTTGGAGTTGAATATGATTCGTCGGTTGAACCAAAGTGGGAAAATAATGCTAGAAAAAAGTATCCACTCTTCATTTTTATTTTTATTTTTGATTATCTAATTAAAGGAATGTTGCCTAATTTAATATTCAATGTTTTAGATTTGACAAAGTGACTTTTTTTGCAATTTTTTTGGCATATCAATTAGCCACATAATAAACTTTCGAGAACATTTCTTCTGAGATACATGTTGACCATCTTTCACCAGTTAAATATATCAACGGCTGAACGGAAAACAGAGAGTAAAAGAGCAAACAAGAAAAGAAGAAAAGAGTAATTGAAGAAGAGAAAAAAAGTAAAAAATTGGAAGAGGAAAGAGAAGAAAGAATAAAAAACGAGAAAAAAAAACAAAAGAAAGGAAAATGAGACGGCAACTGAAAAAAATAGACTGAACCAGCAGATACGAAAAAAAAAGAAAACAAATATTGAAAATTTATGTAAGAGTGATCACAATTTACAAAACATGAGTTCTTCAGACTTAAAACTTATTGTTCACTCGTTTCTCCTGCAAACTGTGACTTAGTAGTACAGCAAAACTTGCCTTCTAATAGTTTCAGTGACAAAAGCAGTAGCAAGAGGTATAACAGAAAAACAAAAAGAGAATTTCAAAAGGAGCGAACAGATTACAGCTATCACAGCTATACATTACTTTCCTTCAATAAAAATGGCACAACAACAATACGGTTACCCTTTGAGGGTACTAATACCCGTTGAATCGCATTTGGACTACGCCGAAATAACGCATATCGTTTCCAGCCCGGTTTATCGTAACTTTTATTTTGTACAATATAACCATCTTTTTCCGTTAATTCATCAGGTAAAATCTAAAAGTGTTGTAATTTTTACTTATTTATTAAATATAATCACTTCTTCTACACAAATTTTAGAACACATTTTGTTATTCTGTTCTCAGTTTTTCCTTTACAACCTAATATACCATTAATAATGTTCAGACAGTCAACGTCAAATTTTTATGTGAACTTTTCTAGTAAATCTAACGAGATAAATATGTGAAAAATTAAAAGAATTAGAAAAAAATGAATAGTAAATTTTTTACCTTAATATTAGCGCTTTTAACGAGTTTTTGAACTGCTTGACTAAGTGGTTCATAGAGGATATTTTTTTGATGGTATTGCAAATCTGCTAACACATAATCAACGCCAAGTTCTTGAGCTTGTTTTGAACTAAGCACTGCGCCGCCGACTTGAACTAATTTACCACCGGCTGTCCGTATTACTTCGATACCGGTATGCTTCAGAAGATGTTCACCGGCTTGAAGACCTCTACAATGGGGATGTTTGGCTGTTGATCGTTTAAGTAAACTTCAACGTTATAGAATTCTTCCGCGTTTGACTTCAAAAACAAGAGAGAAAAAGAAGGTGTAGAACCACAGTGTTCTTCTGTTGTTGCTACTGTTCCTACTGCTGGTGCTGCTATTAACTTTTAATGAACATTCATCCATTTTTATAAACTTATTAATAACTTATCTGCTCTTGTTCAACCAAAATTTTTCTTACTTTAGCAACAAAAACACCCAAAAAGAGCCACAGAAACAGAATTTGGAGAATAAATTTTTTGCTTTTTTCATCGTTTTTTTCTGCACTCAAATTTACAGTAAGCGAAATCACTGACGTCATAACAGCGCCTTTTGCATCTTCCATTTTCGTGCCGATATAATGAATTTTTCGAATATATTCTGTGCCGGCTAAATCAATACACATTGTTGCTCTATAAAAAAAACTTTGGTATCAATTATTGACGAGGAAAAGAAATTGATAACAACAAAATAAAGCCAAAAAATATGCAGAAATTAGGTTTAAAAATATAGACTGCTGAATAAGCTTTCATTGTAAATGAATTAATTAATTGATGAAAAATGAAAGCTTGTAGTAAAACCAACAAAGACAGTCCAAAGATGATGTAAGCCATAGTGAAGAATAAATAAACTTGTCTCGTTGGTACAATATCACCAAATCCTTAAAAAAAGAAGCAGACATTATATTTTTTCAACTTCTAAAAGTGTTTGTCTAAACCGTTCAAAATGCCACTGTTTTACTGGTTTATTCATACAAATTCAGCCTGCTGTACCATCAGCTAACCAAATATATTGGTTTCACAGGTATAGTATGTATTCAATAGTTGAAAATAAAATCAATATGAAATAAAACATAAACGAGTGTAAAATAAAAAAGTAAATTTTAAAAAAAATTTAGCTTACCAATTGTTGCCATAGTTATAAAGCAGAAATAAAATGCATCAAAATATTGCCATTCTTCTAATGCCCGAAACAGTACTCCACCAATTGTCGTATAAGCGACCAACACAAAAAGTACCATGACAACAGGTATTCGTAGTTCGTCCTTCAAACAAGTATATTGTTGTACTTTTCGATACATATACTCTATCAGATTTTGATGCTATATCACACAGTCTCCACTAAAAACTTTTTAAAAGTTAATGTTCTTTGACCCTATTTTTTTTTTGTTTCGCTAACTAACAGTTATTCTTTCGTCTAAAATAAAAATAAAAAACGAGAATTCGATAAGGTTAACTAGAAAAATATTATTTAGTAGTAGAAAAATAGGTAAAACTAACAAAAAAATTATAGCTTAAAGCTTAAAATAGTATATGAATTAATTTAGATTAATGTCTTTAGTGTTTAACACCATCACTAGTAATTCAATTGAAATCAGAAGTTGATGTCTTTCTACAATAATAGCGCGATTGTGAGATGATAGCAGAAAGACAAAATTATCACCTCAGTGCTATCACCAGAAACACTTTCCATATCGCCAAGATTTATGCTACCGGCTTTCATCGATGACGAACAGCTTTGTTGCGATTGTGATAAGGAACGATCACGATCACGATAATGTTGCGATATTCGTCTTGATTGCTTGGCCACCTCAAATTGCTTTTAACTGTCAATAAACAACTGTATAACTAAAAATAAAATCTGGCTCACCAAATTTATACACAAGAAAAACTGCTCTTTATTATTGCATTATCGTTTTTCTTTTCGCCTCATAACAGTTTTTGTGCATGTCTGTCTTTTTTTTTTTTTTTTCAACTAAATAACTAAAATAAAAGAAACAATAAAGTTTTAAGAGGAAAAAACCTTTCTCTTGAAAGACCGATAGGTACGATAAAGAAATGAGAGAAAATCGGAAAGAAATTTGCCAATATCAGCAATGGTTATCAACAGTAACGGAATACCAAACAAGGCGAAACAAATGCATGCAACACGACCCAGTCGAGTCGCAGGTACTAAATTACCATACCCTAAAAAAAAAGCATAACAAGGTTTGACTGTTGTTTTCAGCGATAATAATCCATGACAAACAACTTTTTTTTTATCTTCAACAGCCTTCTAGCGCTAAGATGTCGGTAACAAACAGCTAATATTATTATATTATTGCATAAATGTGGCTATAACATTTTTTTCTTTTTGTCTTAAGCTAATACCGAAATTTTTTATTACACCTAATTAGCTTTTCATTATAATTAAAGCAGTTTAGTTTATATGTGCATTTAAATATGATAATAATAAAAATAATAAAAGAAATAAAAATACTAAATATCTTTTTAACAGGTGATTTTCCTGTTCTAATAAACTGCCATTAATATCTGGCATATAGATTTTTATTATTATTATTATTATTATTATTATTATTGTTATTATTATTATTATCAGTGTTATTACCACTGTGATTATTACTGTTATTACTATAGTTTTAATTTAAATTTTTATTGTCACTCGTATTCCTATAATTATTTCTATTCCCTAAGTTTTTGCTCGCTGATTAACTGCACGTGAAAACCTAGAAAAAGGTGAAACAAAGAGATAAACTTTATTAAAGCTTATATTGATTTCGAATGATAATTGGTAAGCAACAGTCCGATTAAACAGATACGAATAGAGATGACAAACAGTCCAAAAAAATGTGTGTGAATTATTGAATGTTACCAAAAACAAATTTTCCAGTTAGCTCAACCTAACTGGTTAGAAATGCATAAAACAAGTCTCAAAACTCAACTTTCTCCTACCGACATTAGAATCCATAAACTACCTACAAAATACAGTACTGCTGTTTTTTATTGTTGAATTTCAGGTTTTTTTTTAAAGAAATTTCACTGACTGTAAATACTTTTTTTTTCTACAAAAATAAGCTCTTTTAAAGCGCAAAAACGTAATCAAAAATTTAAAGTTAATTTCTTCTGTTGAGGAGTACCTAATCATAGCAATTAAACACTATTTAAATAGTTGGAACTCACTGTCTGTCGACAGCAGTCAAAATCAAAGGTACTTTTGTCGTCTTTCTAGCTCTGTGTGATGAAAAATAGTCCTTTAATCATTGAAACTTGTTTTTAAGAGCTCATATTTTTGGAAAGCCGCTTAAATTATCTATGTTTTGAGTAATTTGTGCTCTTCTTCTGCTGAGAAGCAAAAAGCATTGAAAAACGTTTGGTAAAAAAATAAAGAACGTAAAATTTTTTCTTATCTAAAAGCTTTTAATTGTTAATGAGCTCTTCGAAATCCTCCTTTTTTAATATGAATGAACAGCAGACAACTCGACCACACGTTTAGTGAAAAAAAAAGTGATAAAAAGAGCAGAATATATTAGAGAGAACTATATTTCATTGAAAATTTTTTGTTTTGCATTGACTTATAAGTACCAAGCCTTTGAATTTTTAAAAATGAATGCTAAGTTTGTAAAATGATAAAAGAATTGCCTAAATAAAACCTGTAAGGTCTTTTGTTAGTAACATTTAAAAAAAAAAAAAGAAAAAGAAAAGAGGAAACCAAAACTCTCAAATGGGACACTAACCAATCGTGGTAATAACAGTAACCGAGAAAAAAATGCTGTTTGCGTAGGTCCACAGAATTTCGTCGCCATCTGTTTGGTTAAGTAAATGTCGGTCGTTAATGAACTGATTTCGATAAGCTTTGAACACCGCTTTTATCAGATCTTTAAAATAGATTTGACCAATTTCGTTAAAAGTTTCCCTGGAAACAACACTTTCATTTGTTCGTGTCAAATTCCACAGGTTCCAAATAACGTCATGAAAATTGTCTCGTAACTTAAAAATTGTCTCCAGTTCTTGATTCTTCACCTGCAAAATATTAACAGTTAATCCCTGCACTGTATCTTATGTTTAAAGCCCAATGCATTATAAGGCGAAATACAAAATTAAAAAGAAAAACTAAGAAAAGAAAACATTTACCTTTCGTTCGTTTGGTGCCTCAATATAATGAAATACAATAGCGCCAATAACTAAGTATGCAAACAACAACAGGACGAGACCAATGTGAGGTAAGATCATTTTAGCATACTAAAAAAGTTGGTATAGTCGTGAGAAAAAAGTTATTTTCTAGCAGAAAAAAAATCAAGAAAAGATAAGTTTACCATAACAAATTTTGACTGACTGGCCAAATTTTTTTGTAATTCAGCTTCATCATCAGAAATTGGCGCGCCAGCTGTGGTCAGGTCCATCTCCATTGGTATCTCTTCAGTGTCCGAATCACTGGCATCAGATCCCTGAAAAAAAAGCAAGACGACAAATAAATGTTAATGCTGTTAAATTTTTTAACCAAAAAAGGATATTCAATTGAAAATGGTATTAATAAAGTAGAAAAACAGATAAAAAGAACTAACAAGGTCGAAGTCATTTTTTTTGGATACAAAAACAGAATCCTTCCTCATAATTATTTATTATTCGTCTGATATACTGGTCAAAAAAAGATTCTTGGTTTGTTTCCTGTCCTTTTTAAAAGAAGGAAAACAAATCTTCTTTCTTTTGTTTTTTTTCCTTTTCGAACTTGACGCTTATTAAACACAAATACAAATTTCACATAGACCCGTCAACATCAGCAGCAGCATTAGCAGCACCAACAGCAACAGCGACAATCTGCCAGCATTCACACAGATACATACACATAACGCATACACAGAAACACACACTTAGACTGATAGCAAAACGTTTTGATATATACAATAAAAGAAAAGTAGTGAACAACAGGTGCTATCTGTGTGTCAGGTGGCTTTTTCTTTTCATCGTTTCTAAACAATTAAAAAAAATCATTTCAAATTATATTTGTCTCTCTATGCTTCTTCAATTTTTCTTTCTCAATCCCGTCTTTCTTACCCTCTCCCTATCTTCCCCAATTGTTCCTCCGTCTTCCTTCTACCCTCTCTAAAACCATTTTTTGTTGCTTGTTTTTTCTGTTGTTTTCATTGTTGTTACCCTGTCACTGATTAGTTGTGGCATCAAATTATTCCTGCAACAATAATCGTTTGTTAAATAGTTGTTAATGAACAATACCTGAAGATTGTAAAAAACGAGCAAAAAAAAAAAAACGGAATTTCATTTATCCTATGATAAATTTTTTCCGGAATTAGGAAATAAACAGCATTTATATACAAATTTAGTTCTGTCCTACCTGTTCGCGTGTTTCTGTGGAGAAAGGTAAAAAATAGAGAAACAGAAAGTTTGTTTGTATACTGTTGAATTTCGGGACTTGTTTTTTTGCTTTCAGAAGAAATAAACAAGGTTGGATTATTCACTGAAATTTTGTTTTGTTAGCATAGGGAAAATTATTACTGATTTACTAAGTTTTAGGTGATATAAGGCAGTGTATGTGACCTTTTTTTACATTAATAAAGTCAGCAGTGTTGGGATTGGAGAGAAAGATGAAAGCAGCAAGCGAATTAAAAAAACTAATCTCAAAAATTTTTCCTCTCTCTCAGAATACTCTCCTTTTTTTCTTTCTTTTTTTAAAAGTAAGTTCTGAAAAATAATAGAAGTTTGGCTGTTTGTCAAGATGATCATTTCACCTTCAACACAGTAAACATTATTTTGGCCAGATCAATGCAAAGCCTTAAGGTACTTTTTGTAATAAAAAGATCGCCATAAACTAATACACCTAGTACACTCAAGCTAGTACACGGTACTGCTTGCAATAAAATATTTTTGATTTCTTTAGGTACAAGATTTACCTAAATAACAACTAGAAAACCCACAAATAAAATTATTTTTGAATGTTTCTATGGTATTACGAGTTTCAGAAGATTTACTGCTAGTAAATGTCCTTACGTCAGTTTTCAACAGTAATTCATCACCACTGATCTTTGAACCTCATTTTGTTAGATCCCTTATGATTAGTCACATTGAAACTACGGCGCAGATTTTCAAAGTTCATTGTTGTTCCTTTTGTTCTGCTCGCTGTTTAAACAGCTGGTAGTGAAACTATATAATGCTTTAAAAAGAAGCTTGAACAACTTCACTGTTAGCTGTCTTTTGATGCCATCTTTGTGTAAGGACAGCATAAACAATTCAATTCGCATGCATTACTAATTGGCCAAAATAAACACCCCAGTTTCTTAATAAATGTTAAAAGCTGATAGCAATCTTAAGCTTAAAATATGGTGCGGTCTTAACAGATTATTTGAGGTTAAGCAAAAAACCTTTTCATTTGAAAACTAGTCCTCAACTGCTTTAACTGTTCAGAACAAAATGGACGCAACACTTCTGACTTCAGACTTAGACTTCGTTTGCTTAACCAACAATCTTTCAAAATACGGTTTTCTGAAGCCCTTCTATAATGATGAAAACATACAGGTTATAATTTTTTTTCATCAACAATTATCAGACTTTTTCCGTAGTTGTGCAATTTTTAGCTATAGTCGTTTTGCTAGTTAATGCTAAACAAGTTTTTCAACTAAGATGCGTAGTTTTTGTCCAAAAATTCCTTGCGGTACGGAGAAAAAAGTGCTCAGAAAAAGACCGAGGGAGCATTCGTTTGTTTTTTACAAGAGCGAGACAAAACAGCTTAGTTTAACTCAAATTTTTATTTCTTTTTATTTTTTGTTATTTTTTTTTTGTTGGAGAAAGGAGAGCAGAAAAAAATTCACAACTTTATTTTCAGTGTAATTTGATTGTTGAAAACGACGACCGCAAAATTGATCCAAAACAGCTATCATACAGAAAACGTATTCAGTGGCATCTAAAAGAATTTTGCTATAAAACCTCCAGTCATGGAATTCCCATGCTTGGAAGTGCACCTAACGCTATCTACAGGTTCTTATTAATTGGTTTTACGCCAAGGATACACTTTTGAATATTTTTTTTTGACAGTACAGTCAAAAATTAAGCCAAAACAAATAACTTATTTCTCAACTGAACAGCGTTCTTATATAACATGCAGCTTTAAATGAAGAGGATACTTTTAACAATAGTAAATCCTAAAACAACCATCCAAGATTAAAAACACAGTGTAACTTTAGCAAAAATTTTTTGTCAGTTTGACAGCTTACAGATATATTTGGATTGCGTTATTAGTGTTATCGATGTCGATGTTTTTGTTACAAACGGTCAGTGTCATTGCCAAATATCATCGAAACGAAAAAATCACAAACATCGAACTCATCTTTGATACCGGTATTTTTCTAACCTTTTTTTCCTTCAACATTTGTTAAGAGCAAAGTGACGACGCGAACAATCTGACGGGGATTCGTTATGTTGCGTAATCGTCGTTTTCGGTCCGTAATCCAAAATCCAACTTTATGTTAAATGCCTGTAAAAACCTTTGTGTTAATATTTTCCTTCAGTTTTTTTTTTCTTTATTTTTTGACTATTTATTATCTAAACTTTAATTTATACTACAAGCTTGTTAAAATTTGATAAATGTAAAGTATATTTGTCATTATCAATACTGATTTGTTTAGCTGTTGAATCACTGATCTTTGCCAAAATACACTTTTTTTTGTTTAAGCACCCTTTCCAGCAATAACAATTTGCAATCTAAATCCCTACATGAAAAGTGTAGTTGAAGAAGTTGATGTGGTCAGAAATGTAGTAAGTATTAATACAAATTAAAATACGCAATTTGATTTAATTTTTTCAGCATAAAACAAAATTTGAAAAAAAAATTTGTTGTTGATCTTTTACTTTTTTGTAATAAAAGTACCAAAACTCAAAGACGAAGACTCAGTAATAACAGTATAAAGCCTAATGTAAAAGCTGTATTAAAGTTTCTTGCGCTTATTATGTTCATAACGTTTTTTTGTTTTTAAACTATTAAATTATTGATTACATTACGTAAATAACTTTTTTCATCTATTTTACAGTTTAAAGTCTTTAATGATGTGATGGCTGAAGCATCAATCAAAAACTCTATGATTCTTGACAGTCATCAAAAATCAAACTTTCATGAGAGAGGCCATTTTGAAGCGGTAATTTAGCCATTGTCATAATCTCGTTCTTTTTGTTTTTACTTTACGCAAGTTCGACAATCTAGTGAAATCATTTGTACAGTTTCAAAAGCAAATAATTACGGTTGACAAAGAATTGAAAGTATAAGCTGTAGTCTAGCCACTGATGAAACAATTGATTAGTTGTACTGATTAAACGTTAGTAAATGCAGCTGAATGCCCAGGTGATAGCTTGACTTATCCAGATAGCGAAACTGTCACATCAATAGCTATTTTACCGAGAACTATTGCCTTGTGCTATCTGAAAAGTTAAGTAGCTTCTGAGGAATGCTTCAATGTTTGTCAAAGCAAAGGCTTTTATCAGCTATTTAGGCATGGTCAATTTGCGAGTGTAAAGTTCGTCGAGGAACTTTGACCTGTTATGCAAATGTTAGAAAACCCTTAGACTCTGACGGTGAATTGTGCTTATGCGCTTTCGACAGGAAGACGTTAAAATTACGTTCATGTTACCCAAATGTAAATATATATGTATATTTTTTTGACATTTTTGTAATTTAAAAATCTTTTACTTTCTGCGAAATAAAAGAGGAGAAAAGTATGGAGAAAATAAATTGTTCTTTAGGATGATTGGACAATGGAAACTTGTAACAGCTGCAGTACCAATGGATTTTGTAACATTAGTGATAATCTAGTGACCAGTAGCATCAGCGATTCAACTGCAAGGGAATGCTTATGTCAAACCTATGATTCCAGTTGCATTGGTTTCAACAGTGTAAGAATAATAGTTGGACCACAGTTACTGATTATTAAAGAATGAACGTTGTTCGAACGGAGTTATCTGTTTGTCATTTAAAGGATGAAGAACCGTTGGCGCTTTCAGAGTTTTACATGACAGAAGCGGAAAGTGGTGCTGCAGACATGGTTGAGGCAATGGGTTTTGAAGTGAGAAGGTTAAATCATTTGACAATTTAGTACACTGGGGCTTTGCTCTTACATTTTCGTTAGTAAATGAAATGAACTTGTCGAACTGATGATAAACTAAGCACAATTAAACGAAAATTTTTTTCTAAGAAGGTTTATTCATGAATTACCACGTTGGATCAACAGTTCATTCGCTGTCTAGCAAATCAAAAAGAAAAACTAAAAAACTAAAAAAAAAATTTTTCTTAATATTTATGTGCAATAAAGTATGATCTATTTCTGATTAGTTGTAGGATATGACAGACGAAGTTGCTATTGTTACAAAAGCTCGAGAAAACATGATTTTTGCGATGACTGAATTGGCTGAAGAGGAAAGAATTGCATTATCTATTGAGAAAAAACAGTTTATACACAAATGTTCGTTTAACAAAGTGGAATGTAACGTTGAAAGGTGGTGGTAGAACAGATCTGTTTTCCTTTTTCAACGATTATTCACTTCCTAATTTCTTTTCTTATTTTCCAACAGTATTTTATGGTAATATTGAGGTGAGAATTGACTGAAAAACTCAACTGTACAGAAGGTGATAGAAGTTCGAGTACTCTTAAATTTTTTCAGACAAAATTTACTGTTGAATATGAAATCAAAATATTGTAAAAACAAAAAACGATGCAAAGCTATACAATATTTGTTTGTCGATTGTTTGTTTCAACAGTCTGTTAAATTTGGAGCAAACGTTTTTTTACACTTCTGTTCGTATTGCTTCCCTAAACAACTTTTTTACAAGGTTGTCTACTGGAATTACAAAATTATGAATAAAAAAAATCATATAATTTCTATAACATATAATTTTATAAATCTTTTTAATTTACTCATAACTGTTGCTCCAACATTTGAATCACCTTTTTATCATCAACGAAAATACAATTTTTAGAATTCTGTTATCAACCATTAATAATGTTTTTTCTTTTTTTAGCAAAACTTAAAAAGGTACTCTAACGGCATTCTTTAAAGCTTAAAAGTCTTTTTTTTAAAAAATCAAGGAACAAGCATATTAAA